TATTATTTACCATATTCGCGTTTTGATGCTAAACAAAAGTCATACGCTTTGAAACAACTGTTTTGTATAATAAAGAGCTTCTGGTGTGCGGAAGCACCGCTGTACTTATGGACCAGACGCCATTGCGAGTATTTCCCTCTTGGGATGCCATATTTCGTCCTTAGTCTCATGATTAACACTCTAAATGTGCATGAATTATTGCTTTCTGTTTGTTTTAGAACATTACATTTTCGCAAAAACTTGCTTTACAAATTATTTTGACGTTTAATGTTGAAACTATTCTTCGAGATAAAATTGTCTTCATGGAGTATGGTCAGTTTTTAAATCCTCTCAATTAAGTTTCTATTATATCTATATTAAAGTCGTCTCTCAAAGCGTTTATTTGTTTTCCCTGTCTGTCCCGGGAAGTTTCTACCTCGTTCATTCGGTGAACGTTTATTTCAAGAATAATATAAAATAAAAATGGAGTTTGACGTATGTTGTTTTAAGCGAGGCATGTATTTTATTAACGAATATTACAGTTTGGTAGAAATGACGTTTAGAATATTCTCTTCAATGTAACTGCAAAAGAAAAGATAGAAAATCTTTGATATATGTTCAGTGGAAACAAATAGAGCCTGGAGAAATGTTTCTCAGTTAAATCAAAGACAAGAGACGGTGTTCAGTCACGTTTATTTCTTGGTGAATATTGAATATGATCTTGTTACTGCTTCAAAGATAAATATCTGGATGTCAAAATAAAAGTTTTCATAATTTTCATCCATTTGCATTGTCTTTCCCCTCCGGTTTCTTCCTTTTTTTCAGATGTCTCTTTGTCGTCCTACTCCTGGTTGCTTCTGCTACGGTATCGTACTATAATTTGTGAAGTCGTTCGTGTTTCTTTTGATATTTTTCTCCGAATTATTATTCAAGTAACTTCTTTCCTTTACTTTTTCTTTATTTTTGGTTCCACTGTGTTTTTGTCATCAAAATTCGCCGCTTCATTTCTTGTTGTCAATTTCACTCGCACACGGACGTACGCCCTTCTATCCTGTTTCTCTTCTTCACCCGGAACTTTGCATTTATATCTTGTTTCTCTTCTTCATCGATTTTCGCCTCCACATTCTTCTTGTCATGTGCACTCTGTTAATTTATTTCGTCCTTCACGACCTTCTGTTTCTCCTCCTTTATCTCGGCTCCGTTGTACTTCTTGCGCTTTCCTTCCGCTTTATTTATTCTCACAGAGTTTCGTTTGTTTTTGTGTCAGTATTTCTTTTGCCATTTACATTTCAGTCGCCGACTCGTCATGTGCTAGTTGCGGCATAGAATTGTTTCAGTCTGTGACCTCATACATCGTCTAGGACTTGCTTCGTCTCATGGAATAATCGGCAAAGCTACATCGAGGCAACCAGAGGTGTAATTATCAGACCGCTTGCCTTTCTTTGTTGGTGCTGGGATTCAGTTCTAGGTCGATCGGAAGCGGCTCGGGCAACTTTCTGAAGAGGAGGAAAGACAAAGAAGCTCTCGCAGCAAAACTCTTTAAGACGACAGAGCAAGGTTGTCATTACAAGATTAATTATAGGTCATTTCAAACTTAGTTTCTGTCATTTATTCAAGATATAGGATTTATAACCCTGTGTGGTGCAACAGTTTTGTCTTCCCACCTTTTCTCCTAGTCTAGACAATGTACAAAATTTCTGAAAATGGGTGGACGCCTCGTATCATTGATCAGTTCCACAAACGGGTCTGCAAATATATTGAAGCTATTGGAAATTGAGTAGTGTTATATAACTACTGAGCACTCTCGTAGTACATAAGTGAGGTTAAATATATATATATAATTATATATATATATATATATAATATATATATTATATATATATATATATATATCTTATAGTTTGGGATAGTGAAAGTGACTTTCTCATGTTTATTTTTGTTAAAACTGTAATTCCTATGTTTCTTTCTACTGTTGTGTAATGATAAGGGTCGCCAATGATCCAGTTGTTTTAAAATAAAAATGAAGAAAGTTATTTGCAAAAACTTTCTGAAATGAAACGTACAACAAATCAGATTGCATGCGTCGAATTGCGACGAGATAAGAGAGAAAGATGTGACAGATGAATTTGCATAGGCTTCTGCCAACCTAAATTATGATATTACACCTTTCGCTACCTGTTGTGACCATGCCCAGACGCGTCCTGGCTCTTGCTGGCGTGTGACATCACCCAACCCTCTTGGGGCGTTGAGATAGTAGACAGACGCCCGTAGATGGTAGCACAAGAGAGTAGTTCTCCCCTTGGGCCGTATAGCTCCATTCATGAACATTTCCTCTTCTGGCTACAGGAACGCTGTGAGATATGGTCTTTTATCTCTCGAGAGAAGAGAAGACCGCTAGTCCCTCCTCAAAGCGATTTCCATCGATTTCGTGGAACTAAAATGCGCGTTGTTCGAAACTCGATGTAAGTAGATTTCCTCATAGCTATGAACTAAATAATATACTGTTAACTTCAACCATCAAAGCAAAAATGTATTTGATAATTATGTTGAGAGGAATAAAATGTTTAAGGTCTTTTCGTCTTGCCATCCCCTAAGAAACCATCACAGTGGTTTATCCATGGGGTATCAAATCTGGTACTCGGCTTGTTATCTCGGAATTCTTTCGATTCCCTGCCCCTTTTTGCTACCACTATTTCATCGTATAATATTTTCACAAGTATCTATCCATCGAATCACTTCAATCGAATTCAGGTATGACCACAAGACTTTGTGCAGTCGCGTCATAATACAGAAGAATACTTCCCTGCAAAGCTGCCCTAAAGGTGGGATATGCTCCAGCTCATTTACCAACTCTTGGTTACAAGTTCGTTAACTTTTGCTCGGTCGAGACGGAGATGTTGATGTAGAAGTACTTTTACATCATCTACCTGCACTAAGCTTTGAAAACTGAACATTTTTAAATGTTCTTTTCGAAAAACTTTTTTTTGATAAACATCCGTTGCCCATTGGAGTTATCGGCAAAATAAATTCACGAATGTGATTCTCTTGAAAATATGATTGCGTTGGCTTTCGCAGCCGGAGTTTGTATTATCTCGCATTAACTAGGCTATCCGGGACAAACCGCATCTCTGTCGTGGAGGCTAACGTTTCGACCAACATATTGTGGCCTTCCTCGGAACGTGCTGAGTATGCTTGCATTTCATTACACTCTGAGGAAGGCCACAATATGTTGCCGAAACGTCAGCCATCACCGCAGAGAGGCGGTTTGTCCCAGACAGCCTAGTTAATCTCCCGAGAACATTATCTCAGTGTAATCCGAGAGTAATGTGTTGAAGACCATGATTACGGGTGACCAGATATATGACGACGAGCTCAGGACATTATTATTTTGAAATTGATTTTCGCCAATATATTTATTTTGCTTATGTTCTAGTTATCTCATTGTATATAATGACGGCGATAGTAGTTGACGTATGATATGTTTGACTGATTTGTCGAACAAACAAGATGTCACTATTCATTTTATATAGATATTTTATCGCTTTTTGTTTTGGCAGAAAGACTGGCTTCCTTATTCATTTTGCAATTGCGACACATTTATGTACGGTTTAATGGATTTTAAAGAGAAATAGAATATGTAGTAGTGAGAAATGTGGCATTTCAGTTTCACGTTTGTCAAATTACATGTAGTTTGACCTGTCGGATGTAAATTAATGTAATAGTCAAAAAATAATGGGGCAAATCCATTTGTTTTATTTGTGGATTATTAACTGCTTTCAAATTCATGAGAATGAAATATGAGTTGACAAAAGTATGTAGAATGCACTTTAAGGGAGTGAATTACGAACGTACATTTGAAAGGTAGTACGAGTCAACACACAAGAAATGACTTTTGTATTATGATCAGTAAGCGGCGGCAATATGTAACGTAGTAAATAATAAGTTATATTTTTATTATCGAAACTAATAAATGCATTCTAAAATTCAAACCATCTGCATTTTCACACAATGCTGCCCACATTTTATAGTTCAATTACAGTTACTACTAATGTGTACTAGTTCGTGCAAGTGGAATATATTCTTATTTCTCTCGAAAAGTAATACTTAAGTCTCAAATCGTAGAGGCGGATATCTGGCTGCAAGACACCTTCACAATGCATCCTAAGTATATTTTGGTGATCGAGTCCGAAGACTGCTTCAGCCAATCCAGCCATTCCTTTTGAAGAGTCTCGATCACCGTTTACAATGCGCATTATCATCCATAAAAATCGATTCACTGCACTCCAAATTGCCGCATACAGCGGTAAAGAAACTTGTTTATGTATCGCCGAGCAGTGACAGATCCGCTCTGGAAGACGTGTTGCTCTTCGAGTATGACGAAGTCGTAGGCTTCCGCGGCCTGTGTCATGCAAATGATTTTGGGTGTGAACGTGTTCTGTGGTTCCGACATTTCGACCGTCGTATGGCCAACGCTGGTGGGCAGACCTCGACAAGACGGCTGAAACGTCGACGCCCCAGCCTTCGTCTCGGCGTCACCCGGACAGCCAAGATCATTTCCGTTGAGCCTGATGCCACCACAACTGCTTGCCTCCAACATTACTTTAACACCAGCACCACAATGCTCCGCTTTCCATGTTATATCCGGATAATGTTGACTCTCATGTTGTGCAGGCCCGCCTGGGCGTAGATGAAAGCGGAACAAGAACCACGCTCGTCTAACATAGTTCAATTTTCTCTGAAACCCATCGTGTTGGTTTTATTGCGAGCTCTGATGTCAATTGGACAGAAATATTTGGATTTCGCCCAGCTGTTGGCAACAGCGATTCTCCTGAGGGATTATTGTGGGAGTTTTGAAACCTGGAACCCCGACTTTGAGATAAGACACACTCGAATGTAAGACACCTCCCCCCGAGGTTTTGATTAGTCTGCCCTTTAAAGTAGGATTCAAAACACTTCCGCGTGGTATTTTTTACCAAACACTTGCCCACCACACCAGAAAACAATTGTGATTTAAACTGAAGGTGCAGCGCGCCGGTATCAGTGTACCATTTCATTATACCTCAAAAGAGGACACTTCCAGTGGTGATGAGGTGGGTAGAGGTGTTTCTGTGACACTGACATTTGTCGGAACTTCTTGAGCAGTCATTGTCCCGTTTCTGTGGTATATATTTTTTTATTGGTGTATTACGAGTACAAGCTATATATTTCTGTACGTATAACCCTATTAGCGTGTTTTATATATGCAGTTTTTTATGCTTTTATCTATTTATTTCGTAATGAGTATTACATTCTAGAATCGATGAATATTAAAATTTTCTACATTTTTACCGTGCATTCATCCTACACTATTATATTGCACACAATTTTGGAACTTTAGTCTGCTTTACCCATAGTTTTTCTGCGGCTATTAATTGTGTAAAGAGTTTAAAGATATACCGTTTGTAAATTCCCTACGTAGATTTTTTCTACTTACAATGCGATGGAAACATGGATATTTTCTGATGACGTTTTGTTGCGTTTCCTCACATATCCACACTGAAACTGATGTATAATTTATTAGGGACTTTGAGGAGAAAATGTAATTTGATGCGCTTTTTTCCGAAGCAGATTACGACTAAATTCGGTTTCCTAATACGATTTTACTTATCTCTCTTGTATCCGAAATTTTAGTTAGTTATTCTGGCTATAAGGTACTAATTGAATTCCACATTACCAGATCTCATTTTTTGTATTGCATTTTTTCGGCGTTGCTGTTTTTTTAACATTCTGTGCGTTTGAAAATGATCCAAATTACAATTCGTGCTTCTCCTATATAGTAAATAGCTTGCCTATGTTATTTATAGGTTTCATCATTGCTGGGTTCAGATGATAAACGATAAATATGATGGTAATAAATGAGAAGATAATGGAAACACAAATAAGGTTTGAAAGAAAGGATTATGAAAGGAGCATCAATGTAGGGTAGGTGCTATTTCCTTCTTTCATAATAAAATAAAGTGTTTGCTTGGTCTCGGTATAAGAAAAAAAAAGGTTGATTTTCATTCGAAACATATTGACTGGAGGTGATCGGTATATGGAGAAGCTGTATAATTCATTTTATTACATCCAGAAGATGAATTTTACCCAAATACTTATAACAACGGAGAAGAATTAAAAAAATTGATTTTGTAAGTTATAAATCGCGTCCTTAATTTAAAATCGCACGTAAAAGATGCGGAAATGGTTCTCGTATTAATAATTTATGATTTGCATAATGAATTTGTATTATTAATTCTAGTTGGCGAAACATTTTTCAACCCCATTAATATACTGAAGCAATGTGAAAGTCGGTTGTTTATGAAGTCAACAAATACTCCTTACGAATATACCATTTATATAAAAATTTTCCGTATATTTAACTCAATATTAGTACTTCTATCTTATATTACACTTAAGAAATGGTTTCTGTTATTCGTAGAAATATATACATTCTAACATTCTTTATAATGAATTTGGGTGACTTCGTTTGATTCTTCTACAATAATATTATTTCTTTTCAGGTGATTTGATCCTGTTCTTTGGAGAGATTTGGAGTAACGTCGGACAGGTGAGTTAATTTCTTGTGTAAATCAGTGTATCTATTGCGCACATGTGTCAACTCAATGGTCTCCCTACCATTTGAATATTTTTTTTTTTAAAAACGAGGTCACAGTCTTCCAAGTAACTGAAGGTGAGCGGAAGGTCTACGGTGAACGAATAGGAGCGTGCCTCACCGCGTCGCCCGGAAGCAAACACGCGTAATCATGAAAACTCGTTCCATAATGATACATAAGGGCTGTTGATACCTCGTCCTCTTTCTTCTGCCCAATTCTCGAAATCACTATAATTTCTGCGTGGAATTATGGGGTTTCAGTCGATGTGATGGATGACTGCCGATAACACGAGGCATCAATGCGCCGCCTAGTTCTTCGTATCTCCGCTAATGACAGGAAAAACCAGCTTTCTCTGGAATCCGCTCCTCCATTTGCATCTAACCGGGATAGCGCTGTGGGCCGATATGACACTGAAAATGCTGAAATAATATATGTTTCGCCACTTATGAATGGAAACCATATTTCACTTGACTGTTTAATGGTGTGAAAGCCTTGGTGTGAGAGTACTTGGGATACGCGCACGCCAAAGTAGATTTTTGGCGTGATGCGTACTGTAAAGTAAACAAAATGCTGGATTGATTGATTAATTGCAGTTTTAGTCATTTATCATGTCAACTGCTGGGAACATTAGTCCTGTTAATGTGGTAAATATTTTGATCTTGGGAGTTGGTAGTTTTTCTTTCCCAGCTGGATGGTGAGATCCGGCACCGACCATTCCGTCCGCTTGCGAGGGATCTCCCCCGCCAGGTATTTCCTCCAGGGTGTCACAACCCCGGCCAAGACAAATTATAAGCTCCGTATTGGTCTCCCGACATGTGTGGTAGTGTAGAGCATGTAAATGCAAATGTGTGTGTGTGTGAGGAGAGAGGATAGGACAGTTCGTGGCCCTTTTGTTAGGATTCTGCCCCGGTACTCGCCTGGTGTTAAGTGGAGAAAGCGCGGAAAATACCTATCTGAGTGACTGGCCGCTAGAATTCTTCTCCAGACAGCAGCTGTATTCGCCCCCATCTGCGTATGTAGCCGGCGGCGATGGTGTAACGGTTAGCGTACTGGACTGTTGTACTCAAGTTGGCGGGTTCAAACCCGATCGCCGTGGATTTTTAAGGGCGAAAAAATCCTTCGTACGCCTTCCTTCGGAGGGGAAGTAAAGCCGGCTGTCCCATGTTCGTAGATTTACTTGCATGTAAAAGATCCTCAAGTCTAAATGACGCCTCTGAGCTAAATTCAAATCGCTTGTTTCTCGCCCAAGAAATACCTCCTTTCTCTCCTAGTTGGTGAAAGGAGCGTAGCGAAATTTGCGTGGTCAGACGGAAGAGCGGACCTGATGGCCCGAGTCTCGCCACGTAAAATAAGGCAAATTCAATTCAATTCAATTCAATTATGTAATGTAAATCGTCTAATGTAAGCCATCATCGGGCCTAGGACCTCCCCGTCGGACTCGCTGCTGAGAGAGATAGTATATTGGCTCTAAGCTAAAATCAGAATGTCAAAATGCTGAAGTTCGTACGTCAAATATTCACATTCGTTTCTAGTACTAAAATCAATATCTATTGAGTGCGAGTATTTCAACTGGACTTGCCAATAATGCATAGTCAGAAGACATGTAAAATCTGAGTCGGTCATGACCACATTAAGGGCCTTAAAGCTTCTCTGCGTTTTTTTCGCTCTCTTTGGGGTTGAAACGAATTCAAGGAGATCGCGAAAGAAAATTGATGAAAGTGAAAGTTTTCCTTTTAACGAAATTATTATATTCAGCTTAATTATTACACATTAAAATGCTTTAGTAGGATTACTCCGGGCGCGAAAGTTGAAGCAAGTTCTAATTGGGTTGGTGACGCCGCGGCGGCGTCTTGTGGCTAACGATAATTACATTGACATTCTTCGTGGGGCTTCGCTCGTTTAAACTTCACGACTCAGAGCTGGAAGGGGGGGGGGTCTGGAATGCATTTTTGCCAGACATGCGAATAGAAGGAGCCCACGTCGCAGGGAAGTACGTTCCTGATGTGAGACACTTGAAAATCGAAAATGGTGTGGACGTGCTAGAAAATATTTTCCGTATTGGAAATTGCGGGTTGAAGCAAGGGTTTCAGTTTTTGAAGCGTGCTTCGTACTGTGAATGTTTCTTTCGAGCTTGTTTGTGAGAACGATTTACATCCTGAGCCAACAGATGGACAGTATCGTAGTATAGTTTGCCTGATCTACCCATATACTGTTTTACTTTGCTGTATTAACACATTTCGATCATTGCGCCGAACGTGTTTGAAAGCGGTATGTGCTCTTTCATATATTTTTCTGTAATGTTCATTCTTGCTCTTTGTTTAATTATTGCTAAACGTTTTCTTCAGTTTTGGAACGCAAAGTAGTGTCTGTCGATGAATCCGAAATGCATGAATTGGGGATCATAGGAAACCGATGGTATTTAAGCTTACTTTTTTGTATTTGGAAAACGAAGACTTTTCTATAATTGAAGTAGTTGTAGAAACTGCAAATCTACACGTAATGATTTTTGATTTAAATTACCGTTAATAATTACAAATCAATGTATTAATAAATTTTCCACTTTTTAGTATTCTTGGATTAAAATTCGATTCTTCATGCATGTTCGTTTGTAGTATAGGAAACCATATTTCAGGCAACAACTTTTTTCCTCTGGATTATCCTCGTTGTTGTATTCCCATATACCTGTAATTTTATCCTTTTGAGAGAGATGCCGATTCTCGGGAGTGTCTTCGCCAAACGCACAGCGCGTGATGCGTAGTGTGCTGTTCTCAACTGTGGCATTTTCCGGAGGCTTTGAAAATTTCAGGCGGTCATCCGCAGGGCGTGGCCGGGGCGGGGGAGTAGAGGAGGGGCGGGGGCGACGGCTGAGGCCGGCGTCGCGGCGCAGCGCGGAACAGCGGTCGTAAATCACGCCTGTGGCGGCGGCGGCGGCGGCGGCGGCAGTGGAGGAGGCGGTGGCAGTGGCGGCGGAAGCTGCTGGGGTGGTCCGGCGCGTGTATTGAACGTGCCTGGGGGAATCCCTTGGCGGGAGCGGCCAGCCGCACACCTCTCCAGCGCAGACGCGTCTTGCAGATGGGTCGGGTCAGCTGGCCGTCCTCCTGCTTAATACGATTTATTTGGTGGGGTGGATGACACACCTATCGCTCGATCCCGAATCCGCTACGCCTCTCTGAGAGTGTCTGTTTGGGAAAGGGAATGGGCCATAAGAGGATCGTATATTAAGGTACATACACTCTAAATTAGGCGAGGTATTAGTGACCGCTCGGCCAGTTTCGTTTCACCGAATGTTCGTGTCTCTTGTTCTGACTAAAGGCTGCCCCCACACATTCGATTTTCGTCGAGTTGGGGGCTTAAGGCGGCTCCTCTCATGCGGCATTCACCGTATCCCGAGCAATCGCATGTAGTGTGGACAGGTTGCTTACGATTTGCTAAGCGCGTAACATTCGGTATTCGCCATACCCTCCGCATGTCGGACGTTAGGTCACATCAACAATTCACCAAACACATCATCTGTTCGGAATTGGCCGAGCAGTAGCTCGCTGCTCGGAGAATGCCGAAAGTGTGGAGCCGCCTTAACACTTTTATGCCGCGAAAGTGTGGGGCCGCCTTTATGCTCGCCCAATCTAGACCTGCTGTTGTGCTCGGCGAATATTCGCTTCCTTTGATGTGTCCAAAAGACCGACCGCGGCGTGTAGGGCGAGCATCGTTCTTGGCAAAATAACAAGAAATATGCGCTTTCATAGAGATTATTTGCATCGACTATTGAAGTTACAGATTTTGGCTGTTGTATATCTATGTCTGCCATGTAAAAGAATCTACCTTTTATCGCGATTATTTATTTGTGACCAAGACAAATTTATTTGATCTACTTCCTTCCATTTTCCACACCTCTCCACCCCCCTCGCAGATCCCTGGCGCGAATCAGGTCACTTCCCGCGGGGGCGGTTCGCTCGGTCCGCTCGTTCCGCGATCTGCCGCGGGCGGCGCTGCGAGGCGAAGGGCAGCACTGGACAGGAGAACGTGTCGCTAACGCCGTTGGAGAATTAATGAATCCGCCGTGACAAATTACTTTGCAGTTTGTTGTGTACGTACTGGGGCGGCGTAAAAGCGGCTACGTCTCCAGTTGAGTTAATTGATTAACTCGTCGGCGTAATCCCCGGCGCGCTTGCATAATCGCGTGGTCGCTCGCTACACCGCCCACGAGCGCTGCTCGCCGCCCATGCGACCGCCGCCATCGCATCGGGTTTTGTGTTACCTTAACGCTGAATATGAATTACATCGAGGCTTTTGATCTGCGAAAGAGGGTTGCAAAATAACATATGTTCAGAATATATACAGAGAATTTGTAATGCAGAATCCATATTATTAGAATTCCACTTCTACACACAAGACAAACACGCGAATTCGGTTGACAATGTAATGAAAGTTTTATGAAGATAGATTTATTGAAGTTTGTATGTTTTGAGGTTGTGAGATATTTCCAACCCCAAAAATGACTTCACTTTTATATTTATATTTAAGAAGTAACGTGTACGCCTTTGTAAACTACTGTTTTAAATTTAGTTTAAGAGAGGTTGATTTGTCGGTTATGGCATGGCGTAGCCTTGCATGATCTTGTTGAATCTTCTATTGTCGCTACCGAATTCTATATCGCTCCCTTGTAATAACCGACATCCCCCTTTTTACTACAGGCTACATTGATGCCTGCCTCAGCACATGTACACACATACATTATGTAAGAAGACACAATATTTGAATGTCATGTGCTAGTGAAGGTAAAGAAGAAGAACTAATGTAGAAATTTGTGTCTCTTAATACTCGTATATATTGTATTGGAATATGTCTGCTGCTTCAAACTGAAATGAGAATCATCTTTTTAAATTCTTGAGTGGAACTCGACTTTGCTACAGTCCCCAAATCTTGAAGAAAAATGTAGTTCGAAATACGGAAATTATCTACATTGCGTTAACCATTGTATTTCCATTTGTATGCGTTTCCAAAACGTCTTTGTTATTTCAAGAAGCACTTCCGTAAATTCCTTTACTTTCATCATACATTTTGCTGAAACGCGCAGCGGCATCTCATTGTGTATTTCGGCTTCGTCGGTTTTGCTGCTCGTTTGCGTTCCTCGTCTTCCCTTTTCGCCAGGCCGCGTGCTTCCACTGCACCGTGCTCGCGTCTCCAGAACTCTGCTCCTGAGACATCCGTCCCCGCGCCGCCCTCGCGCCGCCCCTGCGCCGCTCCCCCGCGCCGCCCCCGCGCCGTCGTCTTGATCTGCAACTCGTACGCCCCCATAGGCTACTTCCGCACAAACCCACTGGTGTTCCCACAAATCCCTTTCTCCGAACATGCCACGTTCGACCTTTCGTCTTATTCCACACCATCTCTCCGCCGTCCTTTTGTCTCCCCGCGCGTCACTCCTTCCGCCTTTGTGTCGCCACGGATTCGATTTATCCCGCAAAACGCTCACCCCCATTCGCCACTCGCCCCCCCCTTCTATGCTACCTTTCCCCACATAACATGAAACATCACTCACAATCACAGCACCTCCGCGCCGCACCACTCAGCGACACCAACCTCCCTCCGCGCCTGCCCCTCGACGACCCACCTCGGGGCGAGAGCTGCCCCAAGCGACGCTCCTCTGCTGCCTCCGCGTTGGCACTCTAGGGTTTCTCCTCCTCCTCGTCCCTCGTCATGTTCTTGCTCATTTTGCGCCGTGCGCCTCCTCCCCCCCCCCCCCAGGCATCTGGAGCATTCCTGCCGGAGCGGCGCGGCGTCGCCATCCCGCTCACCTTGCGACCCCCGGCGCCGCGCGGGGGATTTGTCGCCGTTTTATTCGCAAATGAAGGAGGCGCCGCGCGAGACGATTAATCCGCTCCTCCGCGAGCAATTTCTTAAGACGGCCCGCGTGGAACGCGCCCCCACGCCGCCGCTCTCGGGAACGTTGTCGGGGCGGTGAGCGTGGGGAGGGATGCCGGGCGATGGGGCTGGAGAAAGGTGGCGATGGAGAAGGTGTCCGAGGCGTTAAGGATGCCGAAGGTGGTCAGCGCATTGAAGATGGTGTAAGAAGAAGGAGGAATAAATAGGAGAAGTGTGAGCGGGGCGGTGCGGATGGGGAAGGTCGACCGGAGGGTGAGGATAAGGTATATGTGCAGGGGTGATAGGAACAAGGTATTTGTGCAGGATGGTGGCGACAGGGTATGTATGCGAATTTGTGAGGATGGAATATGTGGGCAGGGGAGTGAGGATGTAGATGGAGTGCGGAGCGGTGAATATGAAATGGAAATGTGGTCGTGACGAAGAGGTAGGGGAGGTGGACTGGGCAGTACGGATGGAGAAGGTGCGCTTGATATTTGCAAAGAGGGACGTTGAGTGGGATGTTAGGGGCGGGGAAGATGGTTAGAGTAATTCGGAACGGGAGCGGGGTGGTTCGAATGTTGAAGGTGGTCGGAAAGGTGAAAGTGCTTATAAAATAATCATACGTTAATGCTATGTTTGGGCATACAAACTCTCTTAAACACATCGTAACTAGCGCGCCGTAATTAATTAAAATGTACCGAATCATAAACATTTTAGGGATGTTTTCAGTGAGGTGGTTCAACAACCGCCGCCACAAATCATTTCTCTTTTCTTGTCCTCTCAAATTGGAATTATTTTGATAAAAAATCTTAGTGCTGCTTCTTCTTCTATAATTTCAAAAATAAATAGAAATAACTGCATCTGCTTACCAAATATTTCAGAGAATATGTCAGCAACACGTCAGTCATTTTCAGCCAAACGTCAAGAAAATTCCTGGAAGTAGTGAAGGCTAACGAGCGATATCCTCGCACATGTTATTTATGTCTTCTTGTCATTGGTTTTCTTGAGTTGACGCAATATGTGTTGTGGATGATGGCTCCTCCGTGGAAGAAATTTTGCGCGCCATACCATCTCATTGCTCGTAGCACGTTCCAAGTGATATTGCGCAGTGCAGCTAATTAGCTCTCGCGCATGTCATGACTCATGTAGGCTCTCGGTAAGATAGCATTTTGAAAGTAAACTAGTAGGTTATCCCATTCAATCATTTCTTGCATATGTGTACTATTTCTGTGTACAAATATATCATTATTTTAAAGATAGTCTGTGTGAATGTTTATCTTTACGTTTTTGCGAAAATATAATCGGACTGTAATATTCCATAATTAAATTACATTATTCGCTGAATCTTAATTCCCCGATACATCCATCATCAGCTTTTCACCTGCCAATTGTATTATCTAACTAATGATCTATTTGGTTCTGACAATTTGACCCTCGTAAACCAGGCAGAACTCCATCCACATACTAATTAGAATAGTCTCTCGCACGTACCGCCTGATAATAAACCGCCTGTCACTTCACGCCTCCGCCCTCTGCCCCACGCACCGTTTGCCGCCGCTTCATCTCGTTTGGATTTCACTCTCGGCATTCAGAGCGGAGAGCGGGCGGCGGGCACGTCATATCCATTGCGGAGGCGGTGGCCGCAGAGGGGTGGAGATGACGGTGGTGACGGCAGCAGAGGAACACGAGACGGCGGTGGATGAGCTACCACTTACAACACCATTGTAAATGGTTTTGCGTGGTATAAAATTACCCAGAACGTATGTTATCGGTCTCTAGGACAAATATAAGTTCTTATCCGTACTGTACTTATGTTTATCACTAGACATGATCGTGATATAAATAGAGTATTGATATTTTGCTATGGTTACGAGAAAATGCACAATTTTGCATTTTCGCGAACATATCTTAACAATGTACTGTGGCTAGTTTCATCTTTCGGGGAATAATTTTGTTTTAAAATTACTCGGTCTTCTTAGTGAACTGAAAACGTTTGTTTCTGGTCTTGATATTTAGTTCCTTCTTAAAACACTTTGGACATAATTTAACTTCCAGAAATATATTAATATTCGTAGTATAATAATGTTATTTATTTATTTATTTATTTATTCAGGTGTAAAATAAATACATATTACAAGTATAGATTCTATAAGATAATAACAAAATCTATTTTGCTGACATTGAAAACCACTTTCCGTATATTATTAAAAATATAAATATTAATGTAGTTTAAAATGCGCACAACATGATAAAACATTTTTCCCATCAGTTTTTAATTGTTATATTATTGGTCACTAACCATATATGCCGACCAGATACAATTGAAAGAACAAAACCATCTGTTTCATTTCTATTTGCCTACACTATTAATTTTGTACATTCCTACATTGCCCATTATCTATCATTGAAATGTCAGGAAACTGCCATTATCCGATAATAATTTCTGCATTCTCGTACATTTAGCTTGTGCTGCAACGCATCCATTAAATGAATGCATCAATTCAGAACGGTAAGTGCTATTCCGAGCCGACAGTCCCTTGCCATGGGCTGGCGCGTGGGCCGAGAAATGCAGCTATTGTCTGCCTACGTGCGGCGACCACGCGCGCGCGTTCTAGCTATTCCGCATCTCGCCTCTTCTAGAGATGCGACGTCAATGACGATGGTTTCAAAACATCACTGTTTTTGTTGAAATGTAGATGTTTGAAACATCAATGTTTTAAACATCGATGTTTGAAACATCGGTGTATTAACATCGATGTTTTGTGATGGATGTTTTTCTCTTTTCAGATGTTTTGTTTCTGAATTAAAAAAAGCCCTTGAGCACAATACCGTATAGGTTAAAATATGAAATAAATGATAGTAACACTGTTATTCATATTGTGGAACCAAAGGAATGCTGATTGCACTACGAACAAAGACCAAACTGTCTAGTCCGAGATAACGTCTATGCCATTGTATTTCCTCGTCATAATCATTTTGCACTTTGAGATGTGGCTAACAAAAAACGCTTTGGGTGTAGGGTAGGCACCTTCTTATCATACCCTTATTTAGCGAGTTGATAAACACGAACACTGTAAAATTAAATTTTATTGTACACAAATTTAATGTTGGAGGATACTAATCCAGTCTAAAAACATCGATACTTTGTCGTCGATATATTTTGAACATCGATGTTTGCTGCCTACAACGAACCGGAAATATCCGGAACGCTCGCGCGCGACTAAAGATGAATATTCCAGGCCTGCCGAGACGCACTGTCTCGTACATGACAGCGAGGTGGAGCACAAGAATTGATGGTTTTCGTTTTAATATTTCGTAGGTGCCGACTGCTGTTGGTATGTTCGTTTAGAATGTAAAAAGTTTCTTTTTTTTCGTTTTTCTTTCACGAAGTGTGGGAATGATCCATGTAATTCTGTAGAAAGTTTGTGATTTTGGTTATTCCCAAGACCTGAATGCGACAATTGGATCAACGCTATTTTAAATGGAACTACGTATGTCTCAGTTCCTTATTTCACAATATTAAGACATCAAATTGCGAATATTTATGAAGTATTCTAGAAAATATTGTAAAAAATTAAATGTCATGATTCTTAATGTGTAAATAGGTGAATTTCAGAACGGTGTAAGTGATATTTTATGTATTCCGAGAAAACTGTATATTTAATTAAATATTACTGTAAAGCCGTGGTGCTTTCTTTCATCATTAAAACCCGTCACGTCTACAAATTCCCGAACGATATCTGAAGCCTTCAAACTGATTTCCTGGCCGGCTGGAATGCAGACGTTTCCTGGCTGGAATTGCAGACATTCGTTAGGCTAATAAAGTATCTTGTGGGGTAGTTTTTCGTGAAGTTTTTCCTTTGGAAGTTGACTGTTTATTACTAACACTTGTATTAAGCAAACCCTGTATTTTATCTCAATGTATTCCAATTTTCAGATCTGTGTATTCTGTCGTAAAGTGGTTCTTTATCATGCCAAGTTCATTTGGTTAACACCGTCACTCGAAAAGCAGTAGATTGAATTGAATGTCACGTTTCAAAGAGTTGGTGCTTTGCAAAGAACAGCAGATATTAGAGCAGGTCTTCTTTAAAGGCGGCGGTTGCAAGTTTAATCGGAAATATTAGGTCGTGAAAAACGAGTATTCCTTTTTCGTACATTTTTTCTTTGGAGATGTCTTTCTTGTTTTTCAGATACTGCTTTTAAAGTTGCAATTTTTAGAATTCTTTAATTTGCGTCCGTAATATCTCTTTTTCTTGTTTCTTCAATATTGGGTTGTTACCTCAGGCAATTGAATCATTCATTCGTCTATGCGAGACCGAATTCATTTTCAAATGAACATGCGATGCTGATTTAAGAACAAACATTTCATCGAAACGGAAGTAAAATAATTGTTGTAAAACTCAGGAAGGAAGAGAAGGATGTAAATTGTAAAACGAATTGTAAACAAAAATTGAGAATTGAATTTTAGAAACATAATTGAAAAAAACTGACCATGCGAAGCAATGGATCAGTAATATAGCGAAAAATTGATACCTTGCGTAAACAGCTGGATTTGTTTATTTTATACAGGGTTTTAAAACTTACCTGCATCAGCGCAGTGCTGAAATTCATCCATTCTGATAATTTATCAAAGAAAATGTATATTTTTGTAAGATTAATTGTGGAAATATTTGTGTTTTTTTAAACATCCATTGTATAAACCGTTGGGGTGTTGGAGGAATTTTCAAATCGAATTGTAGTTTGAATACAGTGTTGGGAAACAGGAGGCGACTATAGACTCTGCCGATACTTCGTTTCGGAAGCAAAAT